TTGTGAACGCAACTCCTCTTAAACCTGATAGCAGATTTTGCTTAAACTTCCAGGGATTAACAACCTTAATGTGTAGATGGTAGTAAAGGAAGGAATTTTTGCTGCGACCAAATTTAACAGAATTATGGCCCTTTGTTGATTTTTAGTTTTCAACTTGTGGCACATGTAGTCCAAAAAATATTTGACCTAGAGTCATAAGATTGACAGAACAGTGGCGTGTGGGGGCATCCGTGTCCTATGGACACATTTCTAGTTGCATCAATCATCATAACACTTGGTCAGGATGCTTGTCTAGGTGATAGCTCTGATGAGTTTGAACATGTGTCACCTCGGATGAAAAACTACGTCACCGGAGCTAAAAATAGAAAAACCTTGTTAACACTCTAGCAGTCACTTTTTTGCCTCAATCATCATCAAACTTGGTCCGGATGCTTGTCTAGGTGATAGCTTGGATGAGTTTGAACATGATGATTGTGGCAAAAATGTGACCTCAGATGAAAAACTAGGTCACAGGAGCTAAAAATAGAAAAATCTTGTTAACACTAGCGGTCACATTTTTGACACAAGTGTCATCAAACTTGATCAGGATGCTTGTCTAGGTACTTGCTCGGATGAGTTCGAACATGGATCATCTCGGATGAAAAACTAGGTCACCTGAGCTAAAAATAAAAAAAATCTTGTTAACACTCTAGTGGTCACAATTTTGACTCAATTGTCATCAAACTTTGTCAGTAAACTTGTCTAGGTAATTGCTTGGATTATTTCGAACATGGGTCATCTTGGATGAAAAACTAGGTCACAGGAGCTAAAAATAGAAAAATCTTGTTAACACTCTAGTTGCTACTGTTTTGCTCCAAATATCTTGTAAATTGGTCTGAAAGTTTGTTTTGATGATTTCTAGGTCAAGTTCGAACATGGGTCATCTCGGATGAAAAACTAGGTCACATCGCCCAAATATGGATAAACCTTTTTAACACTGTAGTGGTCACATTTTTGACTCGCCTGTCATGAAACTTGGTCAGAATGCTTGTCTAGGTAATTGTTCGGATGAGTTAGATGGGTCAGGTGAGCGTATTATAATAAGCTTGTCTGCTCAAATGCTTAAGAATGCCTGTCCACAGTGTATTGAGTTTTACATTTTCTCATTTGAAGCATATAATTATGTTCTCATATATTCATCATAAAACATCTCCAGGCAAAAATGCATGAAAGGGGGGCGGGCAGGGGTATTGAAGTCATTCAGTGGCAGTTTCAGTTTTGAGGTCAGTAGGTCAAAGGTAAACGTCACTTTGATCTTTTCCACTAAAAACATGTAGAATACATAACTTAGCAATGCACTGGCTTACTTCCCTCATATTTGGCTGGTCTCTAAATGACTACTGTTGAATCTGACAAAGTGATATGTCAGGGTATTCACGCCATGACAGTGGCAGTTCTAGTTAGTCATGATGGGGTCACTAGTTCAAAGGTCAAGGACTTTATATTGATAGGTTATAACTGGTAGGTCATTATTTCAATAAGTGAACACTTTCATGTACCCATTTATGGCAAGTTTCTAATACAAAATTAGCAATTATGTAAGTCAAGGGCTAGAAAGGGGGGCATATGTGTTGTTCGACATTTCTTGTTTATTTTTGCAATCTTTTATTGTTCATTTTAATACATGTGAATACAAAAATAAATAAATAGATAAAAATAAATAAGCAAAAGTGTTATGTCCTCAAGGGTAAGTTAACCTACAATGTTAAACAGGAGGCTGAGAAATGATTAATATTTGTACTAGGATTTGGCAATGATTGTTGTTCACTCTAATCTGATTCAACAATTATCCGAATTCACTGACAGTTTCCATTAATTTCCATTAATGGGATTTTTAATCCAATGTCATTTAATTGACATTACAAAAAGATTTAAAAGTTATTTGTATTGCATTATATCAAAATATTTATTGAAGGTGACAAAAACCAGTCAATCAAGCAATTATAGTAGTTATCAAGGCAAGCTAAATGTAATTTTTCACACCTTTGTAGATCATACGTTTCACCAATTAATAAAGCAAAATTACTCTTATCAGTTGAGTGTATGTTTTCGCCTGCAATATGTGCAATTATTTGTTATTTTGAATGTAGGTTTGACATTTGGCTAAATCCGTTCGGATCCGAGAGGTTAATTTTAGAGTAAAATAAGAACAAAAATTGAAAAAATCATCCGGAATTCGGACTAGTACAGGTTCCAGATCCGAAAGGTTGTTTTACTTTTGAAAATAGAACAAATAAAATTGGGACCGGACACTTTGTTCGGATATGGATATGATTCCGGATTAAAAGGGTTTGGATTATCAAAGCTCCAATGTATATGGGTAGATGGCAGTCTGGAGATTTAATGCCCATCTTTTTTATGCCACTCACTGCAGCATCTGAGATGCTGTGGCATATATCAATTAACCTCTGTGTGTGCCTGTATGTATCATGTGTTATCTATTATATACAAGGGTTGTTCAAAAAGTAATAGGACTGCAGCTGTACTACTCACATTTTTAGCTCACCTGTCACAAAGTGACAGGGTTAGCTTTTGTGATCACTTTTCGTCCGGCGTCCGTAAATTTTTACTTTAAATGAAATCTCCTCATAAACCACAAAGCCAATTTCATCCAAACTTCACATGAATGTTCCTTTGGTGGTCACCTTTGAAAATTCTTCAAAGAATTTAATTCCATGCAGAACTCTGGTTGCCATGGCAACCAAAAGAAAAAACTTTAAATATCTTCTTCTAAAAAATCCAAAGAGCTAGAGCTTAGATATTTGGCATGAAACATCTTCAAGTGAGTGTCTACCAAGTTTGTTCAAATAAGAGCCCTGGGGTCAAAATTGGCCCCGCCCCAGGGGTCATTGATTTTCCCAATATCCATATAGTAAAAACTTAAAAAATCTTTTTTTAAAGAACCCAAAGAGCTAGAGCTAAGATATTTAGCATGAAACATGTTCTTATGGGTGTCTACCAAGTTTGTTCAAATAAGAGCCCTGGGGTCAAAGTTGGCCCCGCCCCAGGGGTCATTGATTTTCCTTATATGTGTATTGCAAAAACTTAAAAATCTTCTTGTAAAGAACCCAAAGACCTAGAGCTAAGATATTAACATGAGACATCCTCTAATGGGTGTCTACCAAGTTTGTTCAAATAAAAGCCCTGGGGTCAAAATTGGGCCCGCCCCGGGGTCATTGTTTTTCCCTATATGCATATAGTAAAATCTTAAAAAATCTTCTTTTAAAGAACCCATAAGAGCTAGAGCTAAGATATTTAGCATGAAACATCTTCTACTGGGTGTCTACCAAGTTTGTTCAAATAAAAGCCCTGGGGTCAAAATTGGCCAGCCCTAGGGGGTCATTGATTTTCCCTATATGCAAATTGTAAAAACTTATAAAATCTTCTTTTAAAGAACCCAAAGAGCTAGAGCTAGGAAATTTAGCATGAAACATCTTCTAATGAGTGTCTATCAAGTTTGTTCAAATAAAAGCCCTGGGGTCAAAATTGGCCCCGCCCCAGGGGGTCATTGATTTTCCCTATATGCATATAGTAAAATCTTCTTTTAACCCAAAGAGCTAGAGCTAAGATATTTAGCATGAAACATGTTCTAATGGGTGTCTACCAAATTTGTTCAAATGAGAGCCCTGGGGTCAAAATTGGCCCTGCCCTGGGGTCATTGATTTTATTTATGTGTATAGCAAAAAATTAAAAAATCTTCTTTGAAAAAACCCAAATAGTTAGAGTTAAGATATTAAGCATGAAACATCTTCCAGTTAGTGTCTTTAAAGTTTGTTGAAAAAACCCAAATAGCTAGAGTTAAGATATTAAGCATGAAACATCTTCCAGTTAATGTCTTTAAAGTTTGTTCAAATAAAAGCCCTAGCCTGCCCTGGGGGACATTGATTTTCCTGATATGTGTATAGCAAAAACTTAAAAATCTTCTTTGAAAAAAAACCAAATAGCTAGAGTTTAGATATTAAGCATGAAACATCTTCTAGTGAGTGTCTTCAAAGTTTGTTAAAAAAAAAAGCCCTGGGGGCAAAACTGGCCCCGCCCTAGGGGTGTCATTGCTTTGAACTATATGTGTATAGTTAAAACTTAAAAAATCATTTTTTAAAAACTCTACGAGCTAGACCTTAGATGTTTAGCATGAAACATCTTGTAATGGGTGTCTACCAAGTTTGTTCAAATAAAAGCCCTGGGGTTTAAACTGGCCCCACTCTGGGGGCCTATATACAGGTGAGCGACTTCAGGGCCATCATGGCCCTCTTGTTAAATTCTATGTATCATTTTATTTCTTAAATAAATCGATTGTTGCATTTGCAGATCTAGCATTGATCATAATTTTTGACTGAAAGTCTTGAGATCCATACCTCAATCTTTTGAAATAGCGCAATTTTATGCTTCATATAAAACTTCCCCGAGGCGGGGGACGTTGGTAACTCTGTTACAAATTCTTTTAAAAACTACTTGTCCAACTTCAACTAAACTTAATATGATTGTTTCTTGAGTGAAGGCTTATGATTGTTTCTTGAGTGAAGGGCTACCAAAGTTGTTCAAAAAATTTGATTCCATGCAGAAATCTGGTTGCAATAAAAAGATCTTCTACAGATCCACTAGGCCTCGACCACAGCTATTTTGCATCAAATATAGTCTGTTGAATTTCTTCTAAAATTGTTCAAATTACAGCCCTGAGGTCAAATTGGCCTGGAGTCATTGATTTTCATTATGTACATATAGTAAAAATTTTAAAAAATCTTCTTGTCTGAAGGTACAAGGCTAAAAGTTTATAAATTTGGTATATAATATCATTTATATGTCCTCTACCAAAGTTGTCAAAAGCAGCCCCACTCCAAGCATCCTAGGTTTTCCTGATAAGATTATTCAAACTATAGCTTTGGGGTCAAAATTGACCGCACCCCAGAGTATCATTGATTTTCATTAAAAACAGATAAATAAACAAAACTTAATTGCTGCAGGTATGGAATGTGACAGAGAATGTGATACTTGCTTGTTACAGTGGACACCTAGGTAAACTGTTGTGTTGTCAATGGAGTGGCCTTGATCCTGGAGAGGTCATCACTGGAGGAGATGATTTCAGCGCTCATATTTGGCAGATAAAAGATCACCCTGTGAAACCTGGGCAGCTTGGTAGGAGACAGTTATTTATACTTTTAAGTTAGTTAACAGGAAGAAAAAATACATTCTTTGTTAATCTTGATGGGTTGGAAAAAGTAGTATTTTTATGCCACCGCAGCATCATTCTGCAATGGTGTTTGTTTGTGTTCTATAGATTATATAGTGAATTTAAAAAACCTTCTTATGAAAAACCACTAGTCCAATGTCAACCAAACTTGGCAGGATTGATCCTTGGGTGAAGGGCTTCCAAAGTTGTTCAAAGAATTTCATTCCATTAAGAAATCTGGTTGCCATGGCAACCAAAAGGAATTATAAGAATAACTTTAAAAAATCTTCTTGTAAAGACCCAAAGGCCTAGAGCTTAGATATTTTGCTAAGGCATTGTCTGGTAGACCTCTACCCAGATTGTTCAAATTATAGCCCTGCGGTCAAAATTGTCCCGCCCCGGGGGTCATTGGTTTTCCTTATATGTATATAGTAAAAACTTGTAGTAAAAATTAAAAAAAAATTTCTTCTAGCAATTGACAAATGCTAGAGGTTAGATATTTTGCATAAAGCATTGTGTAGTGAACCTCTAGCAAGATTGTTCAAATTATAGCCTTGGGGTCAAAATTGCCTCCGCCCAGGGGGTCATTGATTTTCAATATATACATATAGTAAAAAATCAAAAAATCTTATTGTCTGAAGGTACAAAGGGTTAGAACTTTAATATTTGTTAAATGATATCATCTATAGGTACATTACCAAAGTAGTTCAAATTTTGCCTCTAGTGTCAAAATTAGCCCCGCACAGGGGTCATAGGTTTTCCTTATATGTATATAGTAAAAACTTAAAAAATCATCTTCTCTAAATAAGTAATATATCTTATATACATATATCTTTACGAAGGCTAGAGCTAAGATATTTTGCATGAAACATGTAGTGAACCTCTAGCAAGATTGTACAAATTATAGCCCTGGGGTCAAAATTGGCCCCATCCCCAGGGGTCATTGATTTTCACTATGTACATATAGTAAAAGTAGTATTTTTGGAGTTATTGCCCTTGACTTAGTAAAATTTTGCAATTTTCAACTTGTGTTGCTTGTAACTCAAAAAGGATTTGACATAGAGTCATGAAACTTTACAGGAATGTTGATCAGCATGTGTAGTTGAGCACCTAGGTATTTTCATCTTGTTTTATCTAGTATTTTTAGAGTAATTGCCCTTGACTTAGTAAAATATTGCAATTTTTCAACTTGTGTCGCATGTTACTCAAAAAGGATTTGACATAGAGTTACGAAACTTTACAGGAATGTTGATCAGCATGTGTAGTTGTGCACCTTGGTATTTTGTGTGGATTTATTTAGAATTTTTAGAGTTATTGCCCTTGACTTAGAAAATTTTTGCAATTTTCAACTTGTGTCGCATGCAACTCAAAAATAATTTGACATAGAATCAGGAAACCTTACAGGAATGTTGATCAGCATATTTAGTTGTGCACCTTAGGTTATGCTTGTGGATTTATCTAGTATTTGTAGAGTTATTGTCCTTGACTTATTAAAAAACATTTTATTATGTTGTGTTATTTGTTCCTTAAGTACTTGAGTTAGAATCAACCAACTTTACAGGAATAATGATCAACATCACTACACTACAGGAATAATGATCAGCATCACTGTGAAGCTATGCACCTGGGACTTTGCATGTGGATTTCTTTCAGTTTTGTTATTGCCCTTGACTTACAGTAGTATAAATTTGCAATTTTCAACTCGTGTGTGTATAGCTAAAAAAATATTTGACTTGTAGGCCTGAAAGTTTACAAGAATGTTGGTCAGCATGTGTACTTATGCACCTTGGGGTTTGCTTGTGGATTTATTCAGTATTTGTAAAGGTCTTGCCCTTTACTTAGTAAAAGATTTTTAGTTTTCAACTTGTGGCACATGTAATCCAAAAAATATTTGACACTAGATTCAAAACAGTGGCGTTTTGGGGCACCCGTGTCCTATGGACACATTTCTAGTTCGTTCTATTACAGAATGCACAGAGTCCACCTCCATCTGTGTATGTCCCTTTTCTAGGAAGTTTTGGGTGATCTCTACCCTTTTTAGCCTACAAATATGACTTAAAGCTTTTGAAAGAACACAATTTCTATTTTGGTATGTGCATACGTCACTGTAGATATTAATATGCTTTATGTTAGGATTATCTTTTACAATGGTTTCAATATAATCTACAACACAGGAAGCGAACAAGTTGGCCGAAAGATCCCCCTGACTTTCATTCCAAAAATAACGCTTCACTTGCTTATTGTTTAAATACATCAAAGTAAAGTAATGACAGCACAGTTTTGTTTATAATAAAGTGCGCTAGTGTTGAGTTTTGGGCATAATAATACAGACTGTAAGTCCATTGTCACAACCTTCAATGACCTGTCTTGAGGTGCAGCCTCTTTATTGCTGCTTTTACTTCACAAGCAGCATTTTTTCTGGCGATGTGTGCCTGAAATACTTCATCCCTAATGTTTGCATCCGATGAGTGCAACAAATGTCACACTGATCTTTTTTAGGAGTAAAGATACTTAAATTCATCTCTTCAAATATTGATTGAAACAATGTTCTTTTAGCAATTGGAAGATTTTTGCTCTCACAATACCTTTTGTACTCCTTGCATATGGCACTTATTTAATCAAAGAGTGGTTCAATGTACAGCTTGCTAGTAGATGCTCTACAATAATGAGACACTATTTTTGGTAATTCTTCCATGTCCTCTTTGAAAATCTAAAAAAAATGGTAAACAAGTTTTTTCGTATAGTAAATATCTGGCAGTTTGAAGGGTGTTGGAATTGAACATCAATCAATCAAATCATCAGTCTATTGGTAGGTATTTTAGATGAGCTTAGACAGTCGGTTGGTCGTTCAGTCAGTCTGTGAAAGATGTACAAATTTGGGAAATAGATGAATTTGTTAATAAATGGATACTTGCTGAAAATATCTTTATCCTTTGATGAATGCAAGTACTAGAACAACTTAGTCTCAATGCAGATTCGTTAACGCTTAATCTTTAAAATAATAAACTCACCTTTTGGGTCCTTCTTATACGGGATACTTTTCTGAGCAATTTGGCACCAACTATATACCGTGTGTTCACCAATCCCAAGAGTGCTAAGGAACATTCCTTTACAAACTTGTAGTCGGCTACTATTCTTCCATAAATAATACTGGTATGATTTTTGTTTTCTCGAGTTTCAGTCTGTGAAAGTTTATCAGCTGTGCAAACTAAAACATTAACGTATACCTTTCGCTCTTCCCAGTTCATAGTTTCCCAAAATTTATCAAAGATTTCTGTCCTATCCTCCTCTGTTATACTTGAACACAATACTGTCTTACTTTTATCACATCTTTTCGAGTAAGTTCTTGGACAAAGAATTCGTGGCCCTCAATCGTTGCATTGCTTCCATTTTCCATCAACTTTTTGCATTCCTTTGTAGGATTTCCTATCCATTCTAAGCTTTTTATTTTTCTTTCATTCTGTGCAAGGCGTTCTCTTTTTATGCCACCGCAGCATCTGCGATGCGGTGGCATATAGCGATTCACCTGTGTGTGTGTGTTTGTGTTTGTGTGTGTGTTATATAGATTATATAGTGAACTTAAAAAATCTTCTTGTGAAAAACCACTAGTCCAATTTCAACCAAACTTGGCATGATTGTTCCTTGGATGAAGGGCTTCCAAAGTTGTTCAAAGAATTTCATTCCATGCAGAAGTCTGGTTGCCATGGCATTCAAAAGGAATTATAAGAATAAATTTAAAAAATCTTCTTGTAAAGACCCAAAAGACCTAGAGCTTAGATATTTTGCATAAGGCATTGTCTGGTAGACCTCTAACAAGATTGTTCAAATTATAGCCCTGGGGTCAAAATTGGCCCCGCCCCGGGGGTCATTGATTTTCACTATGTAAATATAGTAAAAACTTAAAATACCTTCTTGTAAAAACCCAAAAGGCCTAGAGCTTAGATATTTTGCATAAGGCATCATCTGGTAGACCCTTACCAAGATTGTTCAAATTATAGCCCTTGGGTCAAAATCGGCCCCGCCCCGGGGTCATTGATTTTCGCTATATGTACATATAGTAAAAACTTAAAACACCTTCTTGTAAAGACCCAAAAGGCCTAGAGCTTAGATATTTTGCATAAGGCATTGTCTGGTAGACCTCTACCCAGATTGTTCAAATTATAGCCCTGGGGTCAAAATCGGCCCCGCCCCAGGGGTCATTGGTTTTCCTTATATGTATATAGTAAAAACTTTAAAAAATATCTTCTAGCAATTGACAAATGCTAAAGGTTAGATATTTTGCATGAAACATTGTGTTGTACCCCTCTAGCAAGATTGTTTAAGTTATAGCCCTGGGGTCAAAATTGCCCCCGCCCTGGGGGTCATTAATTTGAATATATACATATAGTAAAAAATCAAAAAATCTTATTGTCTGAAGGTACAAGGCTTAGAGCTTTAATATTTGTTAAATAATATCATCAAAAGGTACTCTACTAAAGTTGTTCAAATTTTGCCTCTTGTGTCAAAATTAGCCCCGCCCCTGGGGGCCATAGGTTTATCTTATATGTATATAGTAAAAACTTAAAAAATCATCTTCTCTAAATTTACAAAGGCTAGAGTTAAGATATTTTGCATGAAACATTGTGTAGTGAACCTCTTAGGCTCTAGCAAGATTGTTCAAATTATAGCCCTGGGGTCAAAATTGGTTCCGCCACGGGGGTCACTGATTTTCATTATGTACATATAGTGGAAAAAAAAATTTTGTCTGAAGGTTCAAGGCATAGAGCTTTGATGTTTGATATATAATATCATCTATAAGTCCTCTACCAAAGTTGCTCAAATGTCAAAATTAGCCCTGCCCGGGGGCAGTGATTCTCATTATGTACACATAGTAAAAACAGAAAATAAAACAAATGTTTTCTGAATGGGAGAAAGCTATAGCTTAGATATTTGACTTGAAATGTTGTTTGGTGGACCTGTATCAAGA